TCAGTGTGCTTCATAGTGACCGTTCAGTCGATTTGCATATTAGCCTTTTATTATATAGGATATATGCACACTACCCTTTGGGGGAAGGGTACGTGCTGCAAATAAATGATCAGTTTAAACTATAACACATAGCCATCTCCAAAAGTAACTAGGAAATGAATTGCTACTTGGAAAAATTTTCATTTATAAATACTCAGTTTTTAAACAGTTATTGTAGCTACAAATGTATAGAATGCAATTATTTGCCATTTTTCCCCAGGTGAGAGTTTGTCTTCAATGACCATGTGGCCTGAAATTCTTTTGTTTATTACTCCATTTGCACTGTAAATTCTGTTCAGTTTAATGTATTCAATCAAGTCTCCCTAAACTGTTTATTATAATATCTCCAATTAGCTTTTCCTCTGATAAGGGAAAAAGATGAAGAATGGGCTACAGAAAGAAGGGAAATGGGTTTCCGAAAGATTATTAAGTCATAGAGATCAATTTTGCCTCCTGAAGTCTTTGCTCTGATGCTAACTTCTCCAGGCAGCCTCCATGCTGACTACATCTAGCATTGCATCCTGCCCCTTGCTCCTAGGTGCTGCTCTCACCCCTTTATCCTCATCTACTTTCTTTTGTAGCATCTATCACCTCATCATAGATTATAAAATTTGAGCATATATTATGCTTATTGTTTATTTCTTGTTTCTGCCAGCTAAAATGTAAACTCTATGACAGCCATGGGCAAACTACGGCCCACGGGCCGGATCCGGCCCGTTTGAAATGAATAAAACTAAAAAAAAAAAAAAGACCGTACCCTTTTATGTAATGATGTTTACTTTGAATTTATATTAGTTCACACAAACACTCCATCCATGCTTTTGTTCCGGCCCTCCAGTCCAGTTTAAGAACCCATTGTGGCCCTCAAGTCAAAAAGTTTGCCCACCCCTGCTCTATGAGGACAGGGACATTTATTTTGTCCATTGGTATATTTAAAGTGCTTAGAAAAGTCCCCGGGCATAATAGGTGCTCAAATATTTGTGGCAAAACTCCCTTCCCTGAGGTGGGGTATGGAGTGGGGAGTGGTGGAGGGCATTGGTGGGAAAGAATAAAGAGTGACCCAAAGCTCCCAAAGATTTTAAACATAAATATAATAAACAAGGAATCCTAAATATTTTGAAGAAGTCATTGGAATTCAGTGTGAAAGTTTTAATGGAAGTGATTATTTCCTTTCATGTCCTACTGTTTCATTTATTATTTCAGCCTTCCTCCAGGGAGCATGTTGGGTTGATCAGTTCAGGAAGCAAAGCTTAAAAGATAAGGGAGCTTATTTCATTAAAAGGAAAGCTAGGAAAGAAAGGGTGTCTTGACTCATGGTTAGGGGAATTCTAGGGAAGTAGCCATTCCTCTATTTTATTTAGAGGGACTTTGTATTCTGTTTGTACATCATTCACGTAATGGGTGCTATGGATTGGTGCTTCCAAGAAACTGAGACGGTTCCAGAAGTTATGTCATTTGATTTGTCCCCACTGGAAGAAACAGAATAGGGCACAGTGAGAGCATGAACTAATTTGTATTTTATTATATATTTACTTAAAATCAATTGATATTTTATTAGGATGCCCTAAATCAGAGGCTTTTAAATTTCAGTCTGTAGAGCAATGTTGTTGCATAGCAAGATATTAGTGACAACGTGAGAAAAATTAGTCTATCCATGTCCTTCAGATCGGCAACTCCATTCCAAACATTTATCCTATTTTACACAGAAATATAAATTGTTAGCTACCAAATATTCATCACAACATTGTTTGCACTTGTGAAAAATAAGAGCAATCTAAATATCTACTAAAACTTTAATATGTGTATAGAATACAATTTTATGTAGTCAAGGTATAGAAATATACTTAATAATAAACGGATGTCTATCAAATAGTAAGTCAAGAAAGGGGGTTTGAAAGCAGTATTATCTAGTGTGTGTTATTTATACAAGTATATTCAAGCATGAACAAATTGAATAACAGTGTGTATCTCAGGATAGTGGAAGATTTTTTTAAAGCTTTTTTCTTATACAAATGAACCCTGACTTACGATGGTCTGACATAAGATTTTTTGACTTTGTGATGGGAGGAAAGCGATATGCATTCAGTAGCAACCACATTTCAAATTTTGAATTTTGATCTCCTCCCAGGCTAGTGATGCTGAGCAGTGTCAGTGAGCTCAGCCAGCCACGCGGTGGCGAGGGTGAACAGCCGGTACTCTACAGTGTACTGTGTTGCCAGCATTTTCCAGATACTATAGCCCATCAAATAAATGCGATATTCAACACTTTATTATAAAATAGGCTTTGTGTTAGGTGATTTTTGTCCAGATGTAGGCTAATGTAAGTGTTCTGAGCACAGTTAAGGTGGGCTAGGTTAGGTGTGTTAAATGCATTTTCAACTTAAATATTTCGACTTATATTTTCAACTTATGATGTTTATTGGGTCACTTATTGGGACATAAGCCCATCATAAGTCAAGGAGCATCAGTATTTTGTATTTTTATACAAATAAAAATTAGAATGCATAAGGTACATGATAGCATTTATCAAATGATAAGTCAGTGTTTGTAGATTATGTTGTTATGATTTAGGGATATTTCACTGACTTTGAGTATTAAAAAGATTTGAGGATTTTGAAGATGTGTTTGTGTATGTGCAGCAAAAGGGAGGAGGATTTCACATCAAATTTTTGAATATATAGATATGGGAAGTACTATGGTCATTAGTAATATATATAATTTTTCAACTGCTTAGAACATTCTTTTGCACTTTATTTCTTTACACTTATGGGTTATATAATTGCTCCCATTTTAGAAAAGAGGGGTTTTAATGTTAAGGTGCTTTATTTGATTTGTTCAAGTTCATTTGGATTGTGGGCTCTGAACTGAAATTTCTGTGCCTACAAAATTATGCTGTGTTTTTTTTGCCACATGCACTGTTATGCATAACTGCCAGCAAATAAATGGTATGCTCTGAAGGACACTGGGTTTTTAAAGACCATCTCCATCTCACCTGGACCTAAGACATGCCACTATTTGAACTGTTCCCTGAGCAGACACTGGTAAAGCCACGAGCAGCAGCTGTGGTAGCATAGCTTCTGAGGAAGAGAAAGTGGTTGCGACTCCATGTGGCCGGCCGTGGCAGCATTTAAGGAGCTATGTCGAGCTACTGTGTTGAAAGTTTACCTAACAATAGTGGCTAGTTTCTCTTGTATTCTCCTGGCAGTGTACAAGGATTTAGAAGATTTGGACTGAGAGTCAGAGATTGATATCCAAGCTCCACGTAGTTTTGTGAATTTAACATTGGAACAGTATCTGGGAACTTGTCATTTCTCTTCTACCGCTGGCAATATTTTGGACAATAGATTTTCCTTCCCCTTTGGACACCAGTTTGAGAAAAACAATCCAAATCCTATCAAAATAGATATATGTATACAACCATGACAACTATTAACAGTCACTATAGAGCCCTTTCATTAATACTGGGTATATTTTGAGCTACTGTATGTAGTAGGCTAAGGATATGTTAGAACCGTGGTCGGCAAACTGCGGCTCGCGAGCCACATACGGCTCTTTGGCCCCTTGAGTGTGGCTCTTCCTAAGCCTTAGGAGTACCCTCATTAAGTTAATAACAATGTACCTACCTATATAGTTTAAGTTTTAAAAATGTGGCTCTCAAAAGAAATTTCAATCGTTGTACTGTTGATATTTGGCTCTGTTGACTAATGAGTTTGCCGACCACTGTGTTAGAAGATGTTTTCAGTACACTTGGCACTCAAACTTTAATACGTTGAAAGCACAGCTCGTTATCTTAGCCCCCTGTCCACCTCCAACAGTCTTTCCCAATTCAGCTTCTATCTGAATTGGGGACAACATCTATCCAGTTGCTCAGGCCAAAACCTTAGTGTCATCTTTGTGTCCTTTCCTTCTCTCACACCCTCCATCCAGCCTCTCAGCAGATCATGTTGAATTTGCCTTCAGAATATATCCCAACATGGGCCACTTCTCACTCCCTTTTCTGCTTCTGCTCTGAACCAAGTCAGCAGCATTTCTCGCCAGAATGTTGGCGGTAGCCTTCTCACTGGTCTCCTTGCTCTGTCCTAGACCCTTTGGTCCATTCTCAATGCAGTAGCAGGATCGATCCCTTTAACCAGGTCTGCTAGTCTCAGTGCTCATATCACAAGTACCAGGACCCTCCATCTCTTTCAAGTAAATGTCAGTCATTCCAATGTCCAACCTCATGTTACCTCTCTGATCTGTTCCCTTATAGCTACTCTGCCCTGCCTCTGTTGTAGCCCCAGCCCCTGCTGTTCCCACAACTCCCCAGGCTGCTCCTGTCTAGCCCTTTGCATGTACTCTTCCCTCTGCCCAGAACACACTTCCCCACTGGCTCACTCCCAGAGCTCCTTCAGACTCCACTCAATTTCCGGCTACTCCGTGAGCTTCCAATTATTGTACTTGAACTCCTTATCCCACTATCCAGCTTTATTTTTCTCCAAACAACTTACCATTGTATTTGTCATTTATGAGTTTTATGCCCCTTCTGTCTCCCCTCCTGGAATATGAATGTTCCAGGTAATCAGGTATTTTTGTTTACGTTACTAAACACTGTATTCCCAGTGCCTAGAACAATGCCTGGCATATATAGGAACTGAACAAATATTTGCTAACTATTTATTAAACCAAAAGTTATTTCTTGGTTATATTTAATATCAGGTGTTGGATTGGGTGTTAAAGTACTATAGAAATGTTATCCCTGCTAAAATATACTTACTTATGTCCTTTTAATTTGGGGAGGGGGATGTGAAATAATTTCCTCTTAACCACCAGACTTTTAAGTACAGCACATTGATTTAAACAAATTTGCCAAAAAAGAAGTTATATTTCAGATATAAAACCATTATTTATACAATCATTGTAATTATAGAACCTATTCTTTTATTCCAGCTTTTTTTCTTGTCTCTCTCATTTTTGTTTTCCAGAAAAGAGGCACAATTAGATGAAGAAGGACAGTTTCTTGTCAGAATAATATATGATGATTCTAAAACTTATGATTTGGTTGCTGCTGCAAGCAAAGTCCTCAGTAAGTTGAATATGACTTTCCTTCTTTGGCCAGGTTACACATACAAGTGCAAAGGAATGCATAGTCCATTATATAGTGACTAGAGGCCTGGAGCACGAATTCGTGCACTAGTGGGGTCCCTCGGTCTGGCCTGTGGGATCGAGCCGAAACTGGCTCTCTGACATCCCCCAAAGGGTCCTGGATTGCGAGAGGGTGCAGGCCAGGCCAAGGGACCCCACCGGTGCACGATTGGGGACAGGGAGAGATGTGAGAGGTTGGCCAGCCGGGAGGAACCGTGGGAGGGCTCCAGGGCATGTCTGGCTCATCTCGCTCAATCCGGATTGGCCAGACCCCAGTAGCAAGCTAACCTACTGGTACACTAACCCCCTGGTGGTTAGTGTACGTCATAGTGACTGGTCGACTGGTCGACTGTCTGTCCCCTGGTGGTCAGTGCACATCAGAGCGAGCAGTTGAGAGGCCTTAGCATATCATTAGCATATTACGCTTTGATTGGTTGAACGGCTGACCGGTTGATCGAACATTTAGCATATTAGGCTTTTAGTAGTATTATATAGGATGTACAGGGATGTAGGTTATGCATTGCACAACCCTGATGGGAAGACATTTACATATAATGTTAGGCTGAGGCTATGCTCAGTCTATTTATCCATTTACGAACTCTTTAGAGAATAGAGAAGCTCTTTGCCCCTCCCCACAGAAAGCCATATGTTGGGGAAGAAAAAATAAATTATTGCTTCTTAATGTAGTAATTTCAATAATGTAATAATACATTACTATGTCAACAGCACAGAATTGCACAGTGTAATAATTACTCATTACTGCATTGTGGAATGGAGAAAATATGATTCCCAAATCTCTTTTATAATAAGTTTTGTTAGCTGTTGGTAAAAGAAACAGGAAATAGATCTATGTCAGACAAAACTTATGCAATGAAGCCAAAGTTAAAAAAATAGCTTTATAAAAACAAGTCTTTCTGAAAGTAGTGTTTCTTATTCTCAGAGTACTTAATTTATAACTAGGAATTGGGTAGAATATAAAAAAAGCTTTCTAGCTTTGCAGAATATAAGAATTACAAAGAAAAATGGTGAATTGCTAATAATAAGAATAAAATATCCAATCTCATTTGCAATCAAAATTGAAATAAGTATGATATTTTTCATATAAATTTGTCAATTTTTGAAAATTAACTATCTAGTGTAGTCAAGGATAGAGTTTAAAAATAAATCAGACACTTAAAAAATATTTAAACCTTTTAAGAATTTTTCCAAAGAAAATTATTAGTTTTATTTGCATTAAGATTTATGTGCTTTCACTTCAGGGTTACTTATAGTATCAAAAATTAGAAAAGCTTACATTTTGAATAAGGGGATCAATTAAATAAAATGTTGCATCTCTATGTTGAGTGAGGTAGTGATTGAAATTACAGAAAAAATCTTAAAGTTTTAAGAAATAATAATTGGATATAAATTAAAAAGCAGGATATTAGGGTACATACTATATGCAACCAATGTATTAATATGTGTATTTAGATAAAGAAAAATCCTTCTATACCAAAATATTGTCATGTGCATTCTGGATGATTTTCAGGATCTTCCTGTATTTTTCAGGAAAAAATAAGTTCTAAATTAAATATACATTTTTAAAAAGCTTAAAATTAATTAACTAGTTTGTCATGGAAGCTGAGAAACTGATTGCTTTGCTATTAAGTACAAATGTACGGTGTTAGCATGGTAATGTATTGTCTTCTCAGGTTTCATTGTATTGTCCTGGCCAGAAATTTTTCATGTGATGTATATTCACTAGGCACAAAAATTGAGGATATTTAACATTTTGTTGTTATGCAGTTATCTTCCTTCTTCCCATTAATAATAGTCTACATGTATGTTTTGTTTTTATTATTCTTTCAAACCTATAAAATAGATCTCAACGCTGGAGAAATACTCCAAATGTTTGGGAAGATGTTTTTTGTCTTTTGTCAAGAATCTGGTTACGATACAATCTTGCGCGTCCTGGGATCTAATGTCAGAGAATTCCTACAGGTAAGCGATTTGAGGTCTTGTTAAAAGTGCTGAATTCGTGATTCTTTCACATAGATTCTAGCATCCTGTTGTTCAGCCAGCTGTATGAGAGTGTCTTGCTGCTGAAATGGAATCATAGTGACATTTTTTTGCAATTCAATAAAATAATAGTTATTAGGTCTTGAATACATTTTTAGCATTTTTGCTTCATATTTTTTCTTTTAACTTTTGATTACTATAAATATGCAAGTTGTAAATTAATGTCCTTGGAAAAACTCATCATGGCCTATTGTGGTGTATCCAACTGCCTTTAAAAAAATGTTTTTATTGATTTCAGGGAGGAAAGGAGAGAAGGGGAGAGAGAGATAGAAACACCAATGATGAGAATCATTGATGAGCTGTCACCCCATACTGGGGATCGAGCCTGCAACCCAGGCAAGTGCCCTGATTGGGAATTAAACCGTGACCTCATGACTTACAGGTTGACACTCAACAACTGAGCCACACTGGGCAGGCCCAACTGCCTTTTTTTTTTAATGGTCATATTTGATACTAGTTTTGGTTTTATGTTTTGCTCTAAAACATGGTCTTATTTATTATTATTTTTTTTTTGCAAAGCATTCTTAGTTTGTAGAGCATAATTAAATAGTACGTCAGTATCTATGACTTTCTACCCGGAGCTTGTTGTTTAGGAAAAAGCTCGCTGGCTTACAGGTGCTCTGCCACCAAAGCAAATTTGAGAATCATAACTCTGAGTTACATATTAATTAATCTACTAGAGAAAGGAAAGTAAGAGGCCTTGCAAAGGCAATTTCAGGTGCAGGACAAGATAAATAACATCACCAAACGCCTTTGTCTTATATTCCTGCTAAAATTACCTTACAAGATTTTTACTAGTGAAACACACATTCGATGAGAGACTATTTTTGGATTGTCTGTCCTATTTTAAGCAGAGCCCGTTTGTGAGACCTTCTTCTTGATGTGTTAATGTTGAAAATTATGTGGTTGTTTGTAAAGGATATTTCCAAACTGGCTGCTGAGAGCCGCCAGATCTTGCTGGAAAATGATGTCAGTGCAATAGTAGCTGAACCGAAGCCCAGTTTTGAGGGAATGTAAACGACTTCCAGTCCAGCTGCATTATTGATTTAACAGCCAAAATAAGAACTTTGGTGTTTAATCAAAATGTCTGTTGTTTACACAGTGACATTTTTCTTATAAACTTAAAACAGCATTAAATCAAGATGGAAACTGATTTGCGATCGCCTGCCGCAGATTTACCTAACTACTGGGTCCAAGAACGCTGCCACTTCCAAATGGAGTGGCTGCCAGGAGATGTGTAAATTAAACGGGAACAGGCTGTATTTAAATGAATTATGTTAAATGGATTTAAGTGTGATATTTGAAAATATTTTAAGACTTTGGATTTTGGAATACATCTTCCATTTTTTTTAAAACTGTCACCCTATCAACAAAGTCTGAACTTGCATTTTCTCTGTCTTAATTCCATCTTTCTCTCAATGGCCACGTTTACACAGCACAACAAATGTTCACATTGTTTTTGTTTTACGTTGGCACGTGGTGGCCACCTGCTAAGGTTGTCGTGGTGCCGTGAGAGAGCAAGCCGCCTCTGGTGTGTTCCTCTCTGTTTCAGGGCTGCACTGTTAACACTTGGAGTGGGGGAAACGAGTTAAGTCGGCTCGCGTGAATTGCGCGTACTCCGCGGGAGCCGTCTTTAACTCGGTTCATATAGATTTGCGGTGGAGTGCGGGAAACGTGTAAACTCGGGCCGATTGTAACTGCGTATTACCAAATATTTGTTTGTAATCCACCCTTTTGGTGGATGGAACAAAACCAAAAGACAGAGCCATCTTATATTTTGGCGGGAAATTCACCCCACACCGGAGTGTTAACAGGATAGCCAATAGCTACATGGGGCTGGATTTTGAGAGTTCTACCACTTTTCTTCATTCCCCCTACACTTCTGTGTAGAGATTGGATGATTTCTCTGTCTCTCTCATGACTCCTCCAATCTCATCTCTATTCTATGACTTGGGTGACTTTTCTGAAATGCAAATATATCTCATCATACCATTTAAAAAAAATTTTTTTTCTTAAACCCTTCAGTGATTCCCCATTGCTCATTGGGCAATGTCAAAAATAGTTAAAATGACTGAAACCTCTTACATTCCCTATACATTCTGCCTCTTCCTCTTCTGCAGCCCAGCCAAACATAACTTTACTTTTTTTTTTTTTAAATCTTGCTCTCTTTATCCTCTGAGTTTTTGCATCTGCTCTTTCCTTTATCTGGAACACTGTTCATGCTCCTTTTCACCTCGATAAATTCTGTTTATCCTGCTGGTCAAATTACTTCTTCTGGGTCATTGGCATTTCTCATGTTTTCATAGTACATTTATTTTCCCATTCATAGTTGTTCTCATACTGTATTATCATTTCCTGTTTGTTGGGCTGGAATGTAAACTTCATGAAGCCAGAGACCATGTATAATCTCTTAATGATGGTATCTCCACAGATACAATCTGTCTAGCTGGGAATGAATATCTGTCTTTTTTTAATGAAGATGTGCTCTTTGTGTAAAAATAGGAAGCAAATATGACCGTAGCTCAAGATTAAATGTTTTTTTTTAAATATATTTTATTAATTTTTTATAGAGAGGAAGGGTGAGGGATAGAGAGTTAGAAACATCGATGAGAGAGAAACATTGATCAGCTGCCTCCTGCACAACCCCTACTGGGGATGTGCCCGCAACCAAGGTACATGCCCTTGACCGGAATCGAACCTGGGACCCTTTAGTCCGCAGGCTGATGCTCTATCTACTGAGCCAAACCGATTAAGGCTTAAATGTTTTATTAAGAACAACAAAACTCCCTTTTAGATGAAACTATGTAACTTTATTTAGAGATAAATCAAAGATTGAATATAGAGGAATAGACAGCCACACAGTAGACTGATTTCCTTGAGTCAGAAGCTTTGAGTATTGGCTATCGTTGATAAGATAATATATGGCTTTCGGGAATGGAACCCAAGTCAGTCCACAGCAGGGCTACCAATTAATTTTTTGTGCTGTTCCGTTATTATCCCATTATATTTTCTTTACCCAGTGATTTCACAGAGGTGAAATGAAATTATAATAAGCTTCAAAGGCTGCCAATGCAATCTGAGAGAAGAGTTAGAATTTAAATTATGGGCCCGTTTAAATATGCATAGAAATCTCAGTTGAATCATACTACAAATATTCAGTCAGAGTTTGCTGGAAACACTGGCTCGTTCAATGGGCAGTTTCACCCATTCCCCCAATTCATATACGTGGGGGTTCCTCTGTCAGGGCCTCTGTGCAGCCTGCAGTGGGATTTCCAGGTCACGACAGCTCCATGTTTTGGCCTCCAAAACACAACGCTGTGGCCAGCCCACCAGGAGCAATCTGGGATTGATGACCGATCTAAAATCTTAAATGTTTGTCCAAAGTGTTATTCTGGGAAATGTGAGGATTTTCCTGAACAGCTGTGAAATTCTAATACTTCCCTAAATTATTTACAGTGTTTCTTAGAAAAAAAATGCTCCATTCATTTTATTTTTAACTTTTGGATTTCCAAAGGACCTGTTTTTTTCAACATCCAAAACATTAATTTCTGTAACCTGCAGTTTTTAAATGGACAAGTGAGGACTTTAAAGGAAGATAAGTATTTGAGTAGCTGGTATATATTTTCATGATATTGATTGTCAAATATAGTATTATATAAGTGGGATTTTTTTAAAAAAGAAACACATGAGTTTAAGAGCTATAGCGTAAGTGAAATATTTTACACAGGCAATTCTATAATCACTTGCCCTTTTTCTTTAAAATATTTCTCTTGAGAAGATGGTAATGATAGCTATACGTAATTTCGAGATATTATTTAAAGAATTTTAGTAACTGGTATAATTTCTTTTTTTTAAATTGGGCCTTACATTATTTCTTAAAAGAAAAAAAATATTTTCTGTATCTTTTCAGTGGGAGGCTATTTCTCAAGGAGCAGCTCCAAGGAGAAAAGGCAGGAACAGGAGCCTTAAAGTGTCAACTTCCTTACTCTGACCTCATGCTGCTCACACCCTGACCTTGGTGCTGACCATTCTTATGGGGTTGTGTTTTCCACGTTATTGAGGTCTTGCCTGCTTAAATTTCTCATGTTCAAATTCTAAGATGACTCCTTTCTTATAAAACTTAAAATATTTGTCAAATTACATGACTCACACAAGTAAATGTTGGTGTTGGTCTTGTTTGTCAGAAGTGTGAGGAATGAAAAGAAAGGAAATACTGCGTCCCATCCTTTTTCCTTAAAAAAAGAGGTTTGCAAGGACTGATCTTAAGATTTCTTCCAGATCTAAGTGCCAGTAACGTTCTCAAGTAACACAGATAGCTCCCGCTTTCCCATCCTCTAGGATTCTTAGAGACGGAAACATCTCTCTGTCTCAAAACTTTCGAAGCGAGGTCTTACTCTGCCCACTTATGTGGATTTTAGGGATTTTTAATTACATGCCCTGGAAGCCTGGAAGAGGAAGTAGCTGAGTTCTAGAAATTTTGCCTCTGTAATTGTGTATGCACTCATTTTTGCCGTGCATATTACAAAGAAAATTTGCATTTATGTAGAAACATTCCGAGATCTTTGAACATGTAGAACTTCAGTGTTTAGCAGTGGAAGGATACATTCTCTTTGGCTGCCTCCATCTGTGGAATGTGCTACATGGAGCACTCTGGGGACTTACGTCTCCCTGGATGCCAGCACTCGTTTTTCTTCTGCAAATGACAAGCGCTAGGTGAGAAGATGAACTGGACTCATGGATCTGAGAAAAAGTACATTTATTTTGCTTCTCCCAAAACCGGTTAAATGATATCAGGGCGTTAAGAAACAAAACGCAAACCTCAGAGTAACTTTTTGGCATCGTGAGGCAAAAAAGATGGTGGGCCTGCTCTCTAGCCCTTTCCCGTGTCCTAATTTCATAAAGCTGAGAAGAATGAAGGGGAAGCACATTTGAGGTTTTCTTTATTGATTCTTAGGAATCTACTTGTGCTGGACTATATGTATGTGTTCACTTTTTTTTTCTTATGTTTAATGTGTATACTTCCTTTTTAAAAATTTTATTTTTTCCATCACCATTTATCCTTCTATGCCCTCTTCTACCTCCACCCACACCCCCTCTACCCCAACAATCACTGTTGTCCATGAATTCTCTTTTTTCTTGCTCAATCTCCCCCCCAACACACACACATAATGTATGTACTTCTTTGTAATGTGTATAGTTTTTTCTTTGTATACCTGCTTCCACGGGTATATTTTTAAAAAAAAAACAACAACACATGGAATACCAGTTTTAATATGAAACTTTAATCTCCAAAATACATTGCTACAGCCATGTGGATAAATGATTAGCTTTGTATAAATCATATTATAAAATGTAGTCAAGGTTTTATCTAGGCTATTTTGAGAATCTTTTTTTGGCCTTCAGTGTGGCTGTAAACAATTCTAATCTATGGTGAAGGTACATTTTTAGCAATATAAGTGTACTCAAATGAAAATAATTTAATTTTAATCACAAATTCCATTTCTCATATTAGATAGGCTGTGGCAATCACTTCAATTTTGAAAGAGTAAAACCAAGTAAAGAAAGCTGTAACTTAAGAAATCCCAAGAGTGTTTTTATGTTAGATGCTATCTAAAGAAAATCAATATTGCATTAAGTGGTGTTAAAGCTTTCATGTTGCAGGAAAGCACTTAGCTTGTCCATTTAATTAACAGTAAATTCAATAAAACAGTAAATCTCTGGAGAGTTGGTTACCGCAAAGACTAAAAGATGAACATTCTGACTTCAAATGTTTTGCTTTCCCACTTGCTTTGAAGCAATAAATTAAGCAACATGCTATTAGCAACATTTATACCTTTATTTAAATAAAAATGGCTCAGCATTTAGGATGAAGTGCCTATCTTTTATTTAATTTAAATTTTTTAAAAATTGATTTTTGAGAGAGAGAGAGAGAGAGAGAGAGAGAGAGAGAGAGACTGAATTATTATTCCATTTATTGATGCATTCATTGGTTGCTTCTTGGCTTATCAGGACGATGTTCTAACCCAGCCGTGGGCAAACTACGGCCCGTTTGAAATGAATAAAACTAAAAAAAAAAAAGACCGTACCCTTTTATGTAATGATGTTTACTTTGAATTTATATTAGTTCACACAAACACTCCATCCATGCTTTTGTTCCGGCCCTCCGGTCCAGTTTAAAAACCCATTGTGGCCCTTGAGTCAAAAAGTTTGCCCACCCCTGCCTAACCAATTGAGTGACCCGGCCAGGACTAAAGTGTCTATCTCTTTGTGACTCATGACGTAGCTGCATGTAGAAATGTGTTAATATAATATGAACAAGATGAAAATAGATGAGTATGAAAATGATATAGGCATATTGACTTATGATATAAATACGTTGCTGTATTTGAAAATTACAAATTTCAATTTTTCACAGAGGGAAAATTGAAACAATATTATTAAAATATATTTTTCAAATTATTGGTTGACTTATCTTTTTTCCTTTAAAATGAGCCACAACACAGTACTGAACCTGAGGACATTAAGTAATTACCTAAATGCAGCAACAAGCTCAATTTTGGCTTTGTGGGAAATGGAGATAAGTATAAAACTCTTTGGTCATTTTTTTTCCTCACCAGATTTTCTCATAAAGTTTTGTTGTTGTTGTTGTTGTTAATCCTCCCTCGAGGATATTTTTCCATTGATCTTTAGGGAGAGTTGAAGAGAGAAGGAAAGACAGAGAGAAACATTGGAGAAACATTGATGTGAGAGAAACACATTGATTGGTTGCCTCTTATATTCGCCCCAACCAGGACCCAGGTCGGGGAGGGGCCTGCAACCTTGACTGGAATCGAACCCGGGAGTCTTTGGTCTGCAGGCCAACGCTCTATCCACTGAACCAAACCAGCCAGGGCTCTCATAACCTTTTTGCAACATCAGCAGATGGGATCTGGGAGGGTTATGTGTTCAGGTCTTCCCTTCTCAGAAAAGAATTATCCTGAGAAGAACTTGTCATAGGAAGAACTCCTCGTACTACTTAACCAAGTAAAATAGTTTTGGGACTCAAGCGGCTTGTAGTTTATATATTAACTTCCAATACTTCGTGTCTGTCATATTTTACATGACAATAGCAGCCCCTACAGGCCATGGGGATGAACTGATGTTTTTGCTGAGAGGTCCTGGAGGCCTCTCTCCACCCTTGCACATAAGCCTCTTACATCTCAGAACCTGGAACAAAGTACCATTCTCATGCCACCCTCTCTCTGACCTTCTGTCATTACACTTCTCTGTCCCTATAACCAGGAAAGGGTCCTGGCTTTGAAGGTCTCAGTCACGCATATGATTAGCTGGGTCCACCAGGATCATGCAGGACCTTCTTCCCAATTCAAGATCCATAACCTTGATCCCATCTGCAAAATCTCCTTTGCCAGGAGAGGTATCATATTCAAAGGGATTAGGGCATGGAAATTTGGAGGAGCACCATTATTTTGCTTGCTGCACCTGGGATGTGCTTAGTGTTTTATATATATCATTTTAGTTATCTCCATTTTATCAGAAAAAATCAAGTCTTAGAAAAATTGGGTAAACTGCTATGTTACCATGAAATGATAGTGTCATGCGTATATAGCTGCCCCAAACCTATAAATACGTATATCTTTGCTTTAGCCCTGACTATGTTTCTTTTTTTCTGCTTCAGGCATTCCTTTTTTTTTTTTACCCCACTTGTTTATTTATCTTTTCTTAAGATGCATTAACTATTAATAGCCATGGATGTTTGTTTTAATTACTCTACTTGAGTTTCAAGTTCTCTGTGGTTCTTGCCTTACAGATGTCTCAGTGCCGCAAGGGAAGGGCGTGCTGTGTGAATGTTTACTCGGCTGATCTGCCCACTAAGCTCAGATTGAGCCTTCTGTCTTTATCTTGCTTTCCAGGAGTCAGCTGCCATTGTGGGAGCATTGTTTATTCATCACCATTTCCTCTTCATTGCAGAACCTCGATGCTCTGCATGACCACCTTGCTACTATCTACCCAGGCATGCGTGCACCTTCCTTTAGGTGCACTGATGCAGATAAGGGCAAAGGACTCATTCTGCACTACTACTCAGAGAGAGAAGGGCTTCAGGATATTGTCATCGGGATCATTAAAACGGTAGCTCAACAAATACATGGCACTGAAATCGACATGAAGGTAATGATCAGTAATGGAGACACTTCTAAATAGAGATGGCAGAATATTAAAAGTGGTGCTCAGTGAATTTACCTTTAATTCTTGCAGCTAGTGGAACTCACCAAAGGCATATCTTATATAATAAAACCCTAATATGCAAATCGACCGAATGACTGGTCACTATGAACTGACCACCAGGGGGCAGATGCTCAACATAGGAGCTTCCCCCTGGTGGTCAGTGCGCTCCCACAGGCGGAGCGCCGCTCAGCCAGAAGCCGGGCTCACGGCTGGCGAGTGCAGTGGAGGTGGCGGGAACCTCCGCAGCAGCACTAAGGAGTAGCGAGCCAAGTGGTAGGGACCAGCAAGCAGGCAGGCAGTAAGGAGTGAGGGGTCATGCACTGGGCCTCCAGTACTAGTATAAACCATAACACTGGCATGCACAAATTTCATGCACTGGGCCTCTAGTACTAGTATAAACCATAACACTGGCATCACCAGAAGTCTATGCTTGGCCTTGGAATGCAAGGATATACAGTGGGGCCTTGACTTACAAGTGTCCCGACTAAGTTAACGAGCTCCTTAACTAGCTCCTTAATGAGCTTGGTCTTGGAACGAATTAAACTCGTAAGTCAAGGCCCCACTGTATAGGAATACAGGCGATTTTTCCCCTTTGTCTCAGCAGATTTTTCTTTTTATAGGCGATTTTTCCACTTTGTCTGAGCAGATTTTTCTTTTTATACATTGCTTAATTTAGTTTGCATTCTCTGTGAGCACACAGTGGCTGGGAAGCAGGAGGATATGGGACTGGTTAAGCTGTGTCCTTCAGAATACAAAAAAAAAATACCCTTCATAACACGGTCAGTCAAATTCTATGATAATATAAAATTAGATATTATATTACTGTGCATTGTTTCCTTGTGGGTTTTTTTGTCTATCCCTGAAATATCATTGGAATATCTTATTTTGTGAACTAAAAGTTTTGCTTTTTTAAACAAAAAATTAGATTACTTGTTGATAGAAGCCAGGTCTCATACTTTAAAAAGGTGTTGCTATTAATAATACGGATTGTTAGTTTTAGGTGAGAATTTCAAGATATGAATACAATCCTATATAATGAAGAGCTAATACGCTAATTAGACCAGAGGGTCGGTGGAATGACCTTCTGGACGACCTTCTGAATGACCAGTGGGTGGGGCCGCAGGGCCACGAGGAAGCAGAGGCTGGGAGGGCTGAGCCCCTTGCACAAATTTCATGCATCGGGCCTCTAGTTATGCAATAAAGAGAACCATCATTTTTCTATATTTAATCCAGACAGTCTCTTCCAGTGAGCTGCTTTTTGTGTGCTCAGCATATTCAGCCCGAAGAGCCATTTTTCAGTGGCCCCAAATTTGAGAAAAGTGGGGAGAAGAACACCCTATTTCAGCCTTATTTTTTAATGTATCCTAACCAACTTGGTATAGTAATTTTATATACTTGCCAATTGATGGGTAAAAGAATGACATTTCATGTATTTTTAGATATGTGCTTCTATTATTTTATTTTTGTCTGCAAATATTATTTTTAACATGTTAAATAATACTGCTTGTATAGTTTGTAGGTCATTCATTATAGTAGTGTGCTGGGCTTAGAGACTACGCACACCAGGATAAGAGATTGCTTTTTCTCCAATTCTACCAGAGTCTGTACAGGCTACTAGGGGACTGATAACACATTCACAATTTTACTGTGAATAATTATTCAGTCTTCTAATTTCATAAATAAATGTCCAGACAGTGTTTTCTATTTTAGGCATGTGTAGCATTTGCACACATTAAATTTTTAAAATTAACCCTCTAAATGCAATTCTCAAAACCAGTTTCTTAGGTACTTAGGCCTTTTTAAGTAAATTGAAATGCAGACAATTAAGACCATTTTCCCCTTTGACATCCAGGTTATTCAGCAAAGAAATGAAGAATGTGATCATACTCAATTTTTAATTGAAGAAAAAGAGTCTAAAGAAGAGGATTTTTATGAAGATCTTGACAGATTTGAAGAAAATGGTACCCAGGACTCACGCATCAGCCCCTACACCTTCTGCAAAGCTTTTCCTTTCCACATAATATTTGACCGGGACCTAGTGGTCACTCAGTGTGGCAATGCCATATACAGAGTGCTTCCCCAGGTAAACCACATCCCACTTCATTGGGGACTGAGACAAAAGGCCATAAAGGTGCTATTGTGACATGTGGACATTCCTCTATTTACCTTTTTACTGTGTATTACGTGGTGTGCAGCACATCGTATATTACCTAAATTGTTTAAATGTGAGCATAGTATATTTAAACATAATGCTACCTTTTCTACAACAGGTTTTTTCTTTTCTTTTTCTGTTAAAAGCAGGGCAAGTGCTGCCCTGGCTGGTTTTGCTAAGTGGTTAGAGCGTCAGCCCGTGGGCTGAAGGTTGAAAGGTCTCGGGTTTGATTTCTGGTCAAGGGCTCGTACCTGGGTTGCAAGTTCATCCCCACCCCAGTCAGGGCATGTGTGGGAGGCAACCAAGTGAAGTATCTCTCTCACATGAATGTTTCTCTCTCTCTCTCTCTTTCTCTCTCTCTCCTTTCCTCCCTCCCTTCTACTCTTTCTAAAAATCAGTGGAGAAAATATCCGTACACGAGGATTAAAAAAATAAAGACGGCAAGTGGGAATGCTATACTTTTTAAAAATGAGATAACATAACTTTCTAGTAACAATCAACTTTCACTTATTTATTCATTGAATGAATATTCATTGGATATCTACTATCTGAAAATAGCTTTCAAAATCAACCTTTGACATGTTCAGGGAAAAGAAGAGAATTTTAAAAAAACACTAAAAACGACAGAGCTTATCAGGGGACTGGGTAGAAAAAGCGTCAAAGGACAACAGTGGAGGCCATGATGAGAATCTGCGTTTGATTGACATTATTCTGACCCAGTTGTAAAAGCCTTCCTTTCTACCCTACCAACTTTTGGAGTTGTACATGACATGTATCCAGAAATAATTTTTACTTGTAATTAAAGAGACTTGATAGTCCAGGATTAGCCCAAATGGGATCAGGCATAAACCTATAAATCCAAAAGCCTGGGCTTTTAATGCTGGCTCTGGCTCTCCCTCATTATTAGCTGGGGTGTGTTACTTGGCCTCTCTCTGCCCTTGTCCTTTATAAGCAATCAGTAACTGCTTCCTATTATTATTATTATTAACCATCTCTTGATAAACTGTGTTTGATGAGGGTCTTGATATTTCAATTTCATTTTAAGCCATTGGCATTTAATAGGTCATGCTACATTTTCAAAGAGAAATTTCCATTCTCCGTTGAAAATACTTCTCTTATTTCTGTGAGATTATTTTTGAATATTGGTCATCTGAATCCATATTAGGTTTTGTGTTCATGGAACTATTTGATGTCCATTTAATCACCGAGTTGCATAGGTCAAGATATGAGTCCATAGTTGAGGTAACTTTCCTACAAAATAATATATTTCTGTGCTTATATACAATTGAGCTGATTAATCTAATAATATAAAATAAACATTGTTTTAAATAGGTGTTCTTTTTCTTTTTATCTACATTTTAGCTCCAGCCTGGCACTTGCAGCCTTTTGTCTGTCTTCTCTCTGGTCCGTCCTCATATTGACATTAGTTTCCATGGGATCCTTTCACACATCAATACGGTTTTCGTATTGAGAAGCAAGGTAAGCAAGATATTGTTTTATTAAATGTGAGTAAGAAGGGTGAGTTACATACTAGAAGTGTTCTGGGGGGAAAGAAGCTACTATGCCATTCTAGAAGTTGGTGGAGGTATAGCCAGATCAGATGCAAACCTCAAAAGGAGTCTTATTTCAAAGGCGACACTGTTGATTTTTTATTTTCTGGAGGAGCAATGAGACTCTGTCACCTGGTCAGAATTGACAAAAGTAAGTGTTGAGAATGCCTCTCTGGGACAACCCCGCTTCACATATTAAACCAACATCTTTTAGCCCTGGTATAGCTGCGATGTCCTATTTTAGGAGTCAGAAGAACTGATAAAGATTTTTTTTTAACTTTACCCACTTCCTTCAAGTGTCTGTTATTATTGGTTCCATTTTTGTGATGGAAATAGGAGTGATAAAATATTCATTCAGTTGATAATTTAGGTAGTACCCAGATCTCACAGTTTCTGTCTTTGGGATTGATAGAGCAAAGGTATCCTGAAGTACACACTTCATCCTTCTTACAGCCTTCCCAAAGGTCTTATGCACACATACTTTATGTATTTGGAATTATTCCCAGTTGCTCTGTGAATGCAGGGGTGAGGAGTGGTGAGCTTGTTTTTGTGTGTGTGTTTTATTTTTTATTTTATTTTTATTTTTTATTGTTTAAAGTATTACAAATAGTAGTACATATGTCTCCTTTTTTTCCCAATTGACCTTCCCCAGCCTCCCCTACCACCCAGCACATACCCTCACCCCGCCCCCCCAGTGTCTTGTGTCCATTGGTTATGCTTATATGCATGCATACAAGTCCTTCCGTTGATCTCTTACCTCCCCCCGCCTCCGAACCCTTCCCAGCCTTCCCGCTGTCCTTTGACAGTCTGTTCGATGCTTCTCTGCCTCTGTATCTATTTTTGTTCATCAGTTTATAATTAACCATAAATGAGTGAGATCATGTGGTATTTTTCTTTCACTGACTGGCTTATTTCACTTAGCATAATGCGTGTGTTTTTTTTAAGACAGGGTATTATATTGTAGCCATACTGGAAAATAAGAAATAATCATGGGAGCTTTAAATAAATATGTGAACAGTAGTATACCTACTGGCTTTCTGTGCTCAGAGAGAATTAATTCGCTTTTTTTGCAGTGTTTGTAAGGGAACCACTATACTTACAACCTGAAATTCCGCTCTTGTACTAATTGGTACACTTATTCTCCCTTAGGGTTTGGTGGGAAATGAGGTTTATGTGTCCTTCCTTTTGCTGAATTGTTAGGTAGGGAGAAAGGCACTAGGTAATGTTTATGTCTTGCCTTTTCCAGGAAGGATTGTTGGATGTAGAGAAATTAGAATGTGAAGATGAACTGACTGGGACTGAGATCAGCTGCTTACGTCTCAAGGGTCAAATGATCTACTTACCTGAAGCAGACAGCATACTTTTCCTGTGCTCACCAAGGTAATGCTTTTTAGATTAATTATAATGCATATAAGAACCCATCCTTAGGTAACAAAGGATTTCAATAGCATTTTATTCAATCATGTCTACATATTCTGAAGTGTAAGTCGATTTTATAGTGTACCTCTGTCCCTTTTCCTTCCTCTCTCTCTAAAATTATCAATAAAAACAGATTTAAAAAAGACAAAACTAGGGAACATAAACTTTATTTTTTATTAACAACTTGCATTGGTCTAATTATATATTTATCTGCCATCAATATTGGTTTATTTCTTCTGCTTCTTTCCAAGTAGAGCTTTAGTAGTCGAGAGCTTCTCAATAGGAACAGTTTCTATTCATGGTGATAAAGGTTTCTATGGAAACAGAGCAGAAAATTTGGAGTCTATTTCTTAACTATCATATGCAGAAATTAGTTACATAGTGACACACATGCATATTGTTATGTGGTACCAGTCCCTGTGTGAAGAAAGACACACTCACATTGAATTTTGAGAAAGAGATCAACTAAGAGCAATTTTACTTCTAAAATAATTTCAAGAGAATTAGTTGAAATTTAGAAAAAATCTTGATAGTTTGACAAAATAATAAATAATTTTTTTTAAAAATGAGACATAATTTGATTGTTTTTAACTTAGTCTGAACATTCATGACCATTCATCTTTTTAAAATACATTTTTATTGATTTCAGAGAAGAAAGGAGAGGGAGAGAGAGAAACATCAATGATGAGAGAATCATTGATCGGCTGCCTCCTGCATGCCCCTTACTGGGGATTGAGCCCACAACATGAGTATGTGCCCTTGACTGGAATCGAACCTGGGACCTTTCAGTCTGCAGGCTGACACTCTATCCACTGAGCCAATCCAGCAAGGGCCATAACCATTCATTTTTATTTTAAGCATATAATATTTTTTTTCTCTGCTCATGGGCAGTCCTATACCAGTTAGCAGATTATCTGGCCTCTTTCCAGAAAGATCTATTTCTGCAAGTGAGTTTTACTTACATATCCATTATAACAAAAATCTAAAGAGACCATGTGCTTCATTAGTAAATGTTTTGGTCATTTTATATCTCTATGTTGGCATGCTAATTTTTGCTTTGGAATATGGACATTTCTGCTGAAAATGTATTCCAGGGGGGCATTTTAGCAATCCATAATTTTTCAGGAAAATCTCAATTATGTCATCTTAGAGAAACTATTATTGTAAATGTCCCAAAGTAATTACTTTACATTTAAAGAATTCATACCAATAATAAAACCCTAAGACATTTTAACCAAAGATTAATTTTTTTAAGAACATTTTTTAAAAAGCTACTTCTTATTTACCAGGTCTACACTGAATCAATAAATATTATGTTGTTTCTAAAAATGACTTAAGTTGCAAAGATGCATAAAATTCAGCAATTAATATACTGATTCAAATAAATGAGAAACATTAGTCAAAGAAAATAAGAGTAGATAAGAAATTAGAATCAGAAGTAAGAATAGCATATAAAAATATATGTCAGAAAGTCATCTATAATAATACAAATGTAATATGCTAATTAGACCGGACGTCCTTCCGGATGAAGCCTTGGTGGTGGAGGCCAAGCCCCTTGCATGAATTTCGTGCATCGGGCCTCTAGTAAATACATAGAATACTTGTAGAAGATGGGTCATAAATCTGGTTGTAAACTTTTAATCATCATGTCTGAAAGGAAAAAGCAACCAGTCACAGGAGTCACAGAATCTATAGGAAGAAACGAACAAGTTTCTCAGAAGAAGCACACATATCCCTGTTAAAGAGAGTAAGGATCATTTTTTTTCATCTCTTGATAATGAGAGAAAATGTGATAATGAATCACAGCCTTGTGTTAAATACTTGAGCAGGTTGCATAGGGCGATTGTCTACGTTATCTTTCAATGTAGGCTAATAGCATTAAAAGTACAATTTGGCAAAAATGCATTTTAAGTTCACTGCTCTTTGGTAGATTTTGAAATCTCTAGAAGAATGAATAATGATTCTCCTTTTCTTTTCTTCAACCCGAGAAGCTTTAGAATGTTAGGAGAGGGCAGGAGTATGCTCCCTGACAGTAATCAACATTGGTGTTGTCATGTGGGTGAGCTGGAATGATGGTGCCTCATTTCTCTGTATAACAGTGTGATGAATCTGGACGATTTGACGAGGAGAGGCCTGTATCTCAGTGACATCCCTCTGCACGATGCCACGCGGGACCTCGTTCTTTTGGGAGAACAATTCAGAGAGGAATACAAACTGACCCAGGAGCTGGAAATTCTGACAGACAGACTGCAGCTCACGTTAAGAGCACTGGAAGATGAAAAGAAAAAGACAGACACGTAAGCCTGAAACCTTGCACGACTGCTAGGTATACAGTGACTCTACTACAGTGAAGATCAATAGTCAGAAAGGCATGAGAGCCATGATAGCTCCAGAGTAGTAGATAAACTCTCCCATATCACTTAAAATGAAATGATGCATACAGAAATAAATCAGTCTCAATGGTGGTGGGAATATGTCTTCTATTTTTACAAATCAAGCTGAAAGAATAAATGCCAATACATCTCTCTGAAAATCATTATAATAATTCAGATGTTTGAAATCCAGCTATCATTCATTCTTTCCTTTAGACAAGAAATATATTTTGAGCATCCTCTGGGTGCCAACGGCTGGCCAAGTTCTGAGGGTTACACTGCACACAGAACTTAGAGTTGGCCATTATATTTTAAAAGATTTCTTTCCTTGGACTGAATTATTTTAGGAATTGGCTGATATGAATCTGACAGATTGTAATGTCCTCTGTAATGACAACAATTATATTTGTAAAGGCAAACATTATCAAAAAATGGAAGTATAAGGCTATAATTATTTTTCTATGAATGGTAGATGAAATTATGAAATTTTGGGCAAGTAGCATTAAAGTAGTAGTTCATTTTCAGTAATTCACTTAAATGCACATCAGGCATACTACTTGGCCTTGCTTGCATATAATAGTGAAAAGCACTAAGTCACTGATGTTCATAAGATAATTTACCCAGGGCCTTGTATGTACATTTTTAATGTTTATATAACAGGAAGATATCTTGTTGGAGAATTGAACTCTTCTGTCTTACTTCCATATGAGCTTTTACTCTACCTGAGCACTTAGAATCTTGGTAACAACATCACTTTCTATGCTTTTTTTTGCATTGATAAATGTGTAGTTGCCCACGGATGGATGCTGTGCCCACACATAAAAACATCAGTTAGCTATTTATTCATAGCATGGATGAAACAGAGAATGCCATTTAATGCTTGTATTTTTCCACAGCTTCTTAATGCATTGTCTTGGCCCTTGTATAATGCAGGTGAAAGCTGTGTTTATTTATTTATTTATTTATTTTTTGAGACCACTTAACATTCCTCACAGTCCTAAACCGAACCCCTTAATCTATTCATGTATTTTGAAAAATTCAGAAAATATATGGGACAGACGGTTCATGTTCCTTCCACTGCTTGAAAAACAACTCAAACTGTATGTTTTATTGGTCTGTGGTACAACTTTATCCATGAAAAACATCAAATTTTGTGGAGCACGTAAGACAGTCCTTAGGACAAAGATTCAAAGTCAAGTTAGTATTCTGCTCTGGCTGTTATATTAGAAAAACACCCAGGTTTAGTGTTTTTATTTTTTATAGACATTTGTTTCTCTAGGTGATTTAATTATAAACCCTTTTACTGTTTCTTTTCTTTAAAGCCAAGTAGTCCTACTGTTCACATTTAATATTCAAATATAGCTTTAAAATAGTTTATGAAATTTTCTCTGTTTGAAAGTTAAAAATGAAAGACGGGAAATTCCACTAAAGCTAGGAAAAATAATGTGAGCTCAGCTCCATGTTGTACATTCAATGTCGCATGTTATGCCCTCTGACTACAGAGAAGAACAAGGAAGGAGGCTTCATTTTTCCCTCTGAGCCCTCATGCCCAGAGTCCTCAGTCTCCCTGCTTTCTGTTTCTTTCCCTATAAATTCATCAGAGATCATCCTTCTCCTGTTGTGTTTACCACACTTGTCCCCTCAGCAGGGTCCCGGAGGCCATTGTCGCAGTCTCAGTATTGGTAGAGAAACAAAATATTTTCTTGTCTAGACCAAGGTCCACCTGTATTGCCAGTTTCTTCCACAGAAGAGTGAGGGATGCTCCTGTCAATATTGCTTTACAACAATTGAAATCAGTTTCTCATTCCGGAGAGATAAGCATGCTCCTGGTGTGCTAGTCATGCCGTGTTTTCAGGGCTGGTAGTGACAACTTCCATATGGTGACTATCCTAACAGCAGAGTCAGAACACAGGACTAGAAATGAAAACTGACTTTTCTTTGTTTGGTCTGGTGTTTGTTTGGCTTATTTTGATTTGGTTTGCGTTGGTTTGGCCTTGGGGAATTGTATGTAATTCAAATCAAACAAATGATTTATACTGTCTGTATGTCTTGTTTTGACATAAAAACAGCTAACATTTGATGCTAGCTGTAGAGGTTTCCCTATAAGAAGCCAGGCCTTTTACAGAGCAAATGATATCAATGTTCTATGAAATGGTCAATAGAAGCACTAAACCCAGTCCCAGCATTCCTCACTACGGCTTTTTCCTGATCCCACCGAACAGGTTGCTGTACTCCGTCCTTCCTCAATCTGTTGCCAATGAGCTGAGACACAAGCGTCCCGTGCCTGCTAAACGATATGACAACGTGACCATCCTCTTCAGTGGCATCGTGGGCTTCAACGCGTTCTGTAGCAAGCATGCCTCTGGGGAAGGGGCCATGAAGATTGTCAACCTCCTCAATGACCTCTACACCAGATTTGACACACTGACTGATTCCCGGAAAAATCCATTTGTGTATAAGGCAAGTCCTGACCCTATGGCGATGCAGTGCTGTCAGACCCTGCCCTCTAGGGGCACTCCATTCTGTTCTCTGAGTGTAGCCTCCGTAGATAGGAAACCTCCATGTGTCCCATACTGATCATTACCTTAAGTAATCACCTCTTGCTATAAAGCAGGCATGTCAAACTCAAAGGCTAACACGGGCCAAATAAACAAGGCATGTGGCCAGCAGGCCACAAGTTTGACATGCTTGCTATAAAGCATTCTCTTTCTTGTAACCACAATGCATGGAGCAGATGATTCCCTAGTTAAAACGTAATCTTCAGCAGCTTTTTTGCACTGACTGAACAAATCTGAGCACACGGGATATAAACGTAGCATTCGCTTTCGTGCTCTGGACGAGACATTTTTGCTGAAATGTATAAATGTTTTATACGGGAAAGAAGTCCTGGAGCATGAGAAGTGTGCTGGAAGTTTAGACAGCACCAACCTGAAGATAAACATTCATGCGGCATTTCTGCCCTTGGTTTCAATGAGAAGCAATGATAATATTGGAAAAATGAAGTCAGTGGAATATTGCTTTGTAAAGGAAAGAATGTTAACTAAACCATCCACAGGCATCTGGAGTCATATAAGTGCCATGAGAACTATTTATTTTATAGTCGTTTTCTGAGCTTTAGTGTAACACTTGGTGAGCAAATCATAAAAATAAATGGTTAAGGACCAGGATAAATCATTGAACTTCAGGCAGTGGCTCTTGTGCTGTTAAACTCTCACTGCTTGGGTATGTTTGTGGGGGAGAGGGAATAAGGCAATACATTGTTTTACTGAATTATAAGGGTATCTGAGGTGCAAAATCAGGACTTAACAAGAGGAAAAATAATGCTGTGTCTACACCTGCCTGGAATCAAAGACCTCAAATGCCATGTGTGTACATTTCAAATAATGACAAAGTTTCAGGTTGTTGTTGTTAAAGTTTTTACAGAACTAAGTGGGAGGAGAGTTTAAAGTTACTGATAGCCTTGGACAAGTAATTTTTTGTATAAGGATAGCAAATGAAGCGGTCATATTTATGCTACCCCATAAACATCTAACTGTCTGTGCTGTGTTAGGTGGAGACTGTTAGACAAGCAATTCATGTTCTTGATCAGTCACAAATTATGTACAAGGATGGGTATCTTCACAGCAAAGACTGAAATATTTTAAAGAATCCATTGTATTACATTTTTTCACAGAGATGGCAAATCTCTCCACATATCTGAAATTACTTAGTCTACCCCATGTACTGTTTGTTTGTTTTCATTTTTCTTTTTTCTTTTTTTTTAAAATATATTTTATTGATTTTTTACAGAGAGGAAGAGAGAGGGATAGAGAGTTAGAAACATCGATGAGAGAGAAACATCGATCAGCTGCTTCCTGCACACCTCTTACTGGGGCTCTCCACATATCGGAAATTACTTAGTCTACCCCATGTACTGACAGTTATGAGAATGAAATAAAACTTCCTGTCCCTTCTGTTTTTTGTTTGTTTGTTTGTTTTCATTTTTCTTAAAATCTCTTTCTTGTGTCTCTTAAGATGCCAGAGTCACATCTTCAAAATCTTAAGTCTTTAGAAAGGGAATGTTTCTCTTGGAGACAGATTTTGTGAGGGTTTTTATTTTTGTCTGTAATACACTTGGAGTTCTTCTAGGGAATTCTTATGATTTTTGTACAGTGACTCTACATTATTCCGTAACACAAAATAAATATTAGTGTGTTAGTGATTAAAGTTACTGAAGCAAAGCTTTGATTCCCGCAGATAACAATAGGGATACACACTGGCGAGGTGGTCACAGGGGTCATAGGGCAGAGGATGCCTCGCTACTGTCTTTTTGGAAATACTGTCAACCTCACAAGCAGAACAGAAACCACCGGAGAAAAAGGAAAAATAAATGTGTCTGAATATACATACAGGTAAGAGAACACATCTTGGTATGTACTGATTTGAAAGGAAAATGTCTGTTTGCATGTGTTTTAACTTTCTGAGTGAATTTTTTTTACCTTTAAGCAGTTATCACCTTCACTCTTAGGGTTGTTTATTTGTATTTGAGAAGACTGCATCATGATTCTCACTTTAAATGTTTTCATATCATCTCAGAAATTTCTGATATGATCATTGCTCCTAAAAACTTGAACTACCTTTAAGCACAATTTTAGTGTGTGGTCCTTGCTGTCTCTATAGCTTTGGTGCATGCCACGCTCTCTCTCCATGCACCCGTATTTCCTAATTCTCTCCCTACTCTCTGTCCGCTGTCTTTCAGATGTCTTATGACACCAGAAAATTCAGACCCACAGTTCCTCTTGGAGCACAGAGGCCCAGTGTCCATGAAGGGCAAGAAAGAACCAATGCAAGTTTGGTTTCTATCCAGAAAAAATACAGGGACAGAGGTATGACAAAGCAGAGCCTAATTATTTTTTTTCAAGATAGCTTATAAAAATGTTTCATTTGAAAAGAATTCTTGTTTCCGGAATTGAACTTTTAAGTAAAGCAGCTAAAGTACTGCACTGTCAATGAGCCAGTTAGACAAATAAATACGGGATGTCCCCCCAAAATGTGTACACACTTTAACAGCTGATAGCTCAATTTTGAAAATGAAGTGTATTTTAATAAACACTGCCTTTATAATTATTCAAAATCTGTGTGTACATTTTTGAGGATACCCTATACTTCTTAAGGGATACTTTGTGGTTGCTGGCTTTTGAAATTAAAACCAAAAATCACTGGATGGAGAAGCCCTGATTTTTTTTCCTGCTCTGTCATCTGGCTCAAACACAACTGAGGTGAGTGGGCTGTGAGGGGAATCCCCTGGCCTTGTTTCCTCAACTCAGAGAAGAAGGGAGAGGGAAAGAGAGAGAAACATCAAAGATGAGAGAGAATCATTGATCGGCTGCCTCCTGAAAGCCCCCCACTGGGGATGGAGACTGCAACCTGGGCATGTGCCCTGACGGGGAATCGAACAGTGACCTCTTGGTTCATAGGTCAATGCTCACCACTGAGCAACACCAACTGGGCAGCCATGAGGTTTTAGATCATTCTAAGGGCCAAGGATCTCCCTGTAAGTATTTGGGGAATCTTTGGCAATTCTGGTTCCCTTGGGTGTTTTCCCTACAGAGAAGAGTGATTTATAATTTTCCAGAATGTAAATGATTTTGTAGGGAAGCTTTAGGTTCATGCTAGCGCTGTGGTTGTCCTCCCGCCAGAACCCATGTGCTGGAGCGGACCTCAGAACATTGGCCTCCGAGCTGAAATCCCATGACTGCCAGTGAGCTGGCACACATGCAGGCCAAACCCAGCCTTTCCCACTCGCAGTGTGCGGCATCAGAAACTAGTTGAACACTCTGTTTCCCTATTGATGTATTGGTTCTGTAGAGGGGGTGAGACCACTTGATTACATTTCTTTTCCTGTATGTATACATCCCCTGAAAATGCTTTCAGAGTATAACAAGTCCTGAAAGGAATGGAATGCCGAGTTTTAAAATATTTATCTTTATCCTCTTTCAGCTGTTTTTACTTTAAATAATTTACTTCTGTGGTTGGCATGCTTACTGATGTTTTCTGATACGTTTCACTGTACCTTGAGTGTTGGTCCTGTAGTTGGGTGGCCCTCTTTCCCCCAGAGTTATGGTGGGAATGAATGCCTTAGAAAAACGGTAGACAGGAATGCAGGTCCCACTCTTATAGAAAACTATTTTTGAGGGGTACTGTCAGCTTTATCGTCACTGAAAATGAATCCCTTGTGTCTTCCCCTTCTCAAGGAAACAAACCAGGATGATAACTGAATCTTGGACTGCGGGAGGAAGACTGGGATTAGGTTCCGGTTGGTTATCCCCTAACATCTGGCAAGCCTAGGAGCAGTTGTTATTTATGGATACAAATTCTTGTTTTGTCTTTTTCAGTGATCCCAAGCCTATCTCTTAGGTATATCTTTCACTACTCATTACTCAACTTTAGCTCTGCTTTGGATTCTTTTCAAGGTTTAATACAATATCCAAAGTTCAGCTTTAGATGTGGATGATATGTGCTTCATGTGTCTTAAAATCTACTACAAGCATTACTCAACATGGTAATTTGTAAGTAGTAGACACCCAATACATATTTGTTGAATTTAGTTAAATGAAACTGAACAGTATTTGGCCTTGTGTATACAGATCATGGTTGACCAAATCTGTCTCATGCTTCATATATATGTATATGTATATTTTAATGACTATAACACATAACAAACTTTATATCATGATGGTGTATAGCATTATAGGAATCATTTTCTAAAGGAGTGGATTGTAAGTTTTAGGGAGAAAAAAATGATTTATTTTCAGACTCCCAAAGTAAGGATTAGTATATCATGCTAAGAAAATAGGGACTATTTTGAAGTGTGTCGATTTCCCTTCAGAAATATAGAACACACGTGTCTGTTGTTAAAATATTTGGTTGCTCATTCAAATCATGTGGCAATTGTAATTCCTGTAAAATGCTATTGTTTGTAATGTAGCCCTTGTATTAAATCTCATTAACTACACACAGTGGTCACAGAAAACTGCACTCTTCCCCCGTGAGCTATTACATTAGCTTGGGATACAGGTTCAGGACTCTAACCACTTCCAAGACTACAACTGGGACACTCTGTCAATCAGAGCCATTCCTGGCCTTTTATTCTCAGAAATGAACGTCTTTTTCTTAGTTCAGAAGGATGTGATTATATCTAGGGCATCATGTTCAGATAACTCAGTTTAATTGCAACGTAGAATGCATTCCTATTGGAATAATTGGCCTGTTCTTAAATGTCTCCATAATTTATTAATATCTATCTTTACAAAATATAGTGCAACTACTTTTGTGTAAAAATGTTCGTCTTTAAATTTAGTATTTCATATCAACACATCGATATATGTATAGAGTTCCATGTTAATGTGTAAAAGAATCTGCAATAAATTATTTTTTCCACTTGTCTCTCATCAGTTTTTACATCAACAAACATGATATGAATGTTGTCATTCTATTAATGCTATTTTTGTACATACAGTTTATGATTTTATCTATTAGAAATGTAAAATCAATTTAGACTCATTGCTGTTATAAAGTTTAATGCTCCTCTTAGATAGGCATATTCTAAAATGCGATTTTCTTTAGAACTGACAAAATAACAGAAACAAGACTAGCTCTGGCAAGGGGGATGGAGGAGGGAAGGAATATACAGATTAATATGCAATGACGGCAGCTCTTGAAGTGCTCACAGTCTTTTAGGAATGAAAGACACATATACAAATGATAAAAAATATGTAATATTCGTAGTGATAAAACATCCTCAAGAGAAAGAAAAGACTACATAGAGAAGGAGAGAGGAGAGGGAGGACAGGGTGGGGTGAGAATAGAAGAAGATAGGGAGGCCAGTTGGATTTTATGGTGCTCTAGTTTAAAGACGAATTAGTGCCATGGAAGTAAGGACCTGCATCTCTTCGTAGATGTGGATAAATAAGGGGCCACATACTAAACCTGACAAGCTCAGGGAAGGCATGGCAGGCCTCATAAACTCAGAGACTGAAATTAACCACATAGGATGGTCTGAACATAAAAATTCCTAACTAAAGGCAGGGCATGGAGGGTAGTCACGTCTTAGGCCTGTAGCTTCTTTGACAAAGGTCTGTCTTTATCTAAGTGAACCTATATACTGTGTTTTTGCATCTGAGATAACATACCTTTGAAATGTCAGAGTAATCTTTCCCTGATCCTCGGGGCACACCCACCTCACCAGAGCAAGAGGCCACAGAACCCCTCATTGTTACCCTGTTCCTCGAATACCACCCCCATGTGCTGTAAATGTTCAGTTAAGTATCCTGTACCCACCATGTGAAAGAAGTATTTGTCTCTCCATTTTACTTTTTATCCAACCCCAGTGATTACTTTGCTCTGCTTTCTCCTGCCTCCCTAATCTACCACCAATGGATTTCATGTATCCCTCCTAAATCTCCTCCTTTGATTCTAATGTATAAAATAAGTTGCAAATGTCCATTCTCCGAGTGTTTTCCCAGTTCCTTGAGATTTTGCTTCCCAGCAATTGTGGTCATTTTGGCTCAAATAAACTCTTGTTAAGACGTTTTCTTAAACTGGATGCTCTTTGGTCCACATGGCCTACACGCAGTGTCTCTAGTTTCCTGTGTAACTCTCATTTGCAGATGTATTCTATGCATCAAGTTTGCTTTGCATGAGGCCATCTTCCTAATTCCAAAGTTTAGTGAATACCAATCAGTCTGTTTCATTGGCCCCAATAACTACTGCATGCAGGCTTTTTAAAAAAAGTATTATTCTCTTTTTATTGTTTCTGTGAAATTCTTTCCCAAACATTTTTGTGTGTGAATATTTGAAAACATAAAGAAAAGTTAAAGGAATGGCACAGGGTACAACCATACACCTGCCACTAGATTTTATAATTATTAAAAATTCACTGTATTCTGACAATTTCGTTTTCTAGCTTTCTGTAGTCTGCTGTATTCAAAAATTTCTGAGATACAGTTCAGATACTATCAAAATCACTTTTTTAAGGTGTCCAATTCAATGGTTTTAGTATATTCACAGGGTTGTACAACCACCTAATTACAGAATATTTGCATTATCTTAAAATGACATCCTATACACATTACCAGTCACTCCAAATTAACCACTTCCCTCAGCCCCTGACACCACTAATATACTTTCTGTCCCTAAGAATTTGCCTTTTCTGAACATTTTATATTGTGATATTGTCACTTGTAATAAATTATAATATATTTGGTCTTCCTTCCTGTCCCATTTTCTGACACAAGTTTCTAAAGCCCCTGGAATTTCCTAAGTGATGAAAATGACAAAGATTTATTTTGTTATAATAATGATAACTTTTGGAATGCACCTAAGAATGGGGGCTGGTTTCCAGTGGAGCCACTCTTGTGTTTAGAAGGTTGGAACTTTCAGTCCTCCCAACCCCTGCCTCTGACCTCCAGGGAGGGGAGAGAGGTTGGAGGCTAAAACCATTACCAATGGCCAGTGATCTAATCAATCATATATGTGCAATGATCCTATATAATAAAAGGCTAATACGCAAATTGACCAAAAGGCAGAACAACCAGTCGCTATGATGCACACTGACCACCAGGGGGCAGAAGCTCAATGTAGGAGCAGCCCCCTGGTGGTCAGTGCACTCCCACAGAGGGAGCACCACTTACCCAGGGTGGGGGGGAGTGGGCCTAAGCCGGCAGTCAGACATCCCCCAAGGGCTTCCAGACTGCAAGAGGGTGCAGGCCAGGCTGAGGGACCAACCCCGCACCCCGTGCACAAATTTTGTGCACCGGGCCTCTAGTACATTCATAAAAGCCCAAAAAGACCAAGTTGGAGAGCTTCCAGATTGGTGTCCAGTGAGGATGCAGAGAGAGTGGTGCCTGCAGAGGTGGGGCACAGAGGCTCTGCACCCTTTCCCCACATCTTGCACCATGCATCTCTCCCATCTCGCTGTTCTTGAGTTAATAGGCTTTTAAGTAAGTAAACTATTTCTCTGAGCTTGTGTGCCATTGTAGCACATTAATCAAGCCAAAAGTGGGTGTTGTGGGAATGTTAGACTTGTAGCAGGTGGGTCAGAAGCACAGAAGATGACCTAGACTTGCAATTGGCCCCTGAAGTGGGGGCAGTTTTCTAGGACTGAGCTCTTCAACTGTGGAATCTGATACTATCTCCTAGAACACTGATTTTCAACCAGTGTGCCGCAAGAATTTTTAAAACATGCAAGAAAGCCACCGTTCAATTTCCAGTCAGGGCACATGCCTGAGTTGTGGGCTCAATCCCCTGTGTGGGGTGTGCAGGAGGCAGCCAACACTAAACCTCTTTTCCTTTAGATTGTCAAATAAATGACAACAGCCAACACAACAATAGCCATCCAGTGTGAATGAATAAAAATTATTCCCCTTTTTGTCAGATCGGCAAAACATGTATATTTTGGGTGTGCTGCAGAATTTTAGGAATCAGTTTATGTGTTCCATGAGATGAAAAAGGTTGAAACTTGCTATCTTAGAAGATAGTGTCAAAATTGAGTTGAATTGTAGGAATCCCTGTAGGAACCCCAGCTGGTGTTTGGTGGTGTGTGTGGGGGAAAGCCCACATTGTAAATGGGTGCAGAATTTGTAGGGAAAAATCATTACTTATCTGCTTACTCCTAAGTATGTTTCCCTTTCTGCAGCCCTCACTAACGACTCATAGAACCTCTGGAGGGCAGCAGAGAGTGCTGTTAGGGAAAGAACAGAGAAAGAACAGGATGTCTCCTAGAAGTGTATTTCACCACCTCTGTTCCCAACTGACCGGCACTTCTTGTGTGCAACCTTGAATCCATCTCTTCCACCGGCCCCCAGATTCAAAAGAATGCCATAAAAATAATTATCTCTACCCTATTTTGTCCATTTGTGTACCATGAAATTCATTCACACATACCTAGTTCAAAATTTCACCCAAATATTTCTTCTAAAATCTTAGGAAGCGATGTACACTTGTTAAAATGGGCACTTTGTAATAAAAACTATTTGGACAGAATGATTGTAGGCAAACTAAGTTTTATGTAGTTCATGTTAGAAGCTATACAATACAAATAGGAGAGTACTGTTTGTTTACAAGGAGAAAATTGAAGAACCCCTCATTTTGCATTAATAAACCAAACCAAAACAAAAAAACACTGGACAGAGAGTCAAGGACCTGAGTCGAGTTCTGGCAAAGCCAGCCCCACAGTCCTGACAAGTCATTTACCTTCTTGAGATTCAGTTTCTTAATCTGTATAAAAGGAGCTGGACAAGAGGTTACCTAAACTTAATTCTTGCTTCAAAATTCCATCATTTTTTGGTAAAAATTCCAGTGAAGTGATGCTATGACTTTGGCCTGGCCTTTTTGAGAATACTTAGAAAGACAACCTAAACTCTTAACCATTCTCTCTCTCTAATAGTCCAGTAATAATGAGTAGATCAAGTGAGGCAGGGGTGGGCAAACTTTTTGTGAGTGCGTGCCCAAACCAGCAAAATCTCTGACTCAAAATTCTTCTGCGTGCCAACCCTAATCTTTTGAGAACATGTTATGCCTACTTGATATCTCTTAAGGTGTACATATGTGAAGAACCTTGAAGAAATAATAAAATTCATTCGAGCGACAAAAACACAGTATATGATGATGAAAAATACATTTATTTTTTAATGTATACATGTACACTGATAGTCCAATAGAAAACTTTATGACTCCGTTTGATATTATCATGGGACCTTTGCTGCTGCATCACTGATGACAGAGATTTTACATCAGGTTTATATTTCGTGACCTTCATAGATATGCACGAGCTACTACTTTCATCCGTCAGGCTACTCCTATTATGAGACTTAACAAAATTCATCAATGAGAACAAAGATTCACAAGCATATGTGGATGAAACCAAAACACTGGTCGGATCTAGGAAGGCAGGGAGAGTTAAGGCAGAGGCATAGAAATTGCTCTTCCCCTCTCTTGTCAATCCATGTCTATGGTCTTTAAGATAACTTGTTATGTAAAATTATTTATTTATCTGAGATGCACCTACACTGAATTTATCTGAAAAATAAAAAAGTCGATATTAAGAAAAAAATTGTAAATGGAAGATTATAAGAGAGGGTTCCGAATGCCAGCAAAAGTTACTGGCGTGCCATGTTTGGCACGCGTGCCAGGGGTTGCCCACCCTTGAAGTGAGGGATTTTAAAACTAACTTCGAGGAAAGAAATCTGGGTGGGGCAAGCACCTGGTGAAGACTTTTGACTCTAAGCTAAAATCACAATGACTAATCCAGATTAGTGTATAAGAGTGTTAATGTATGTGTTTCTGTTAAAAATTGGTCCTGTAATATTTATTTAATTATGTGTCCTAAGTTTAAATTCCTTAATAAAGAGTTGTGTTCTTGATTCTCTAACAATAAGGAGAGAA